CCCCATAGAGTGGACCTCGAATGAATGAAAGTAACACAAGAAGACAAGCAGACACAGGGGCAGGCAGCCATGGGCCTTGGCTGAAGGCTCAGGGTCAAGATCAGTCATCACCCTCCAGGGCTGCTAATTCACTCTATAAGTCATAGGCAGTCCATATAGACTGAGAAAGGAGGTCTCATCAGGTAACCTCAACACTGAAAGGGAGGGGACAGAGATGAAGTATCCAGGGAAGTCACAGAGGAGAAACAACCAGAGAAGTGCTCTGGAGACAATCCAGACACAGCACTAGGAGTGCACTGTCCAGGAGCAACATATAAGAGAGGTGTCATGAGCACCAGCATCATTTTTTATGATGCTAGCATAACAGCACTGCCCCAACTGATAGAGATGGCAAACAAAAAGGAGAAGAGGAAGGCAGGGGAAGGATGAAGAGGAGACCAATCTTACTTATGAACTTTTGTGTACAAACCCTAACTAAATGAGTGTCTATCAGAATTCCAATGGCACATTTCTAAAAAGAACGCATCATGACCAAGAGGGTTATATTCCAGGAAAGCAAGGATGGTTAAAGGAATGAATTAAATATACAACTCAGAAATGTAGGAAAAAAACAACAAACTAAAATAAAAATGTATTGAGTCACAAAAACAGAAAAGCAGTATAAATCATACATAAATCAACATTATTACTTGAAAAAACCCAATGAAATAGGCAAACCACTAGTTGACCCAGAGGGAAAAAAAGGAAGAAATAACAAACACAAAAAGTGAGAAGTGAAAAATGAGGGGAAATCCTATTGACCCAGAAGAAATCAAAAACATTCATAAAAGATTATTTATATATTTCCTTGGTAATGAACTTAAAAATCTAGATGAAATGAATTTTCTAGAAAATGTAATTTACCAAAATTGATCCAAGTAAAGGCAGGAAATTTAAACAGACCAGTTTCCATAAGGAAAGGAATATATAGTTACCAAAAATATCCTCTCTCCCTCAACGCACACATGTGTGCGCACACACACACACACATACACACACATACTTTTCCAAGGGAATTCCATCAAACCATCAAAGACCAGACAGAAGAGAAGACAGAAAGAAAAACAACTTCTACAGTTTTACAAAGTATGAATAAAACAAGCACCTGTGAGAAGTCATGTGTGAGTGTGCACACACACACACAAAGTACAAGAACACTCATGGTAGCACAGTTGTGACACCAAAGCTGTTAACCAGCCAACCTCCATCAAGAGAAGAGCAGATAAGTAAGCTGGGATATGTTCATCAGCAGTGAAAACCCATGAGCTAGAAAGCCACATAACAACACGGGTAAGTCTCAAAAACATCAAGCAAAAGAGAAAATCAGAGAAGGATACAAATGACATGATTCCTGCTTCAAAAAAGACAAAATTAAACAATATGTTGTTTAGAGATATAGACTAAGATGAAGGAGTTAAAACAGCTGGCCTGTGACACTCCACTCCTTTTACAGGAGAGATGCTTCTGGGGAAAGAAGGAGGCAAGTGACCCCATCTAATCTCTTGTAAACATGCTAATAACCAGACTACCTAATAAACAGACTAATGATATTTGCTAAAATGAGAGTTCTTGTTTCTGGAATGCCCTTAGCAAGATGTCCCTGCTAAGGATTACTTACAGTAAATAGTCCCAGAATTTACAGATTTATGAGCCCTGACTCTCTGGGCTATGTAGTAGACATGTTTCACAACTAAAGACTATTCATGGGGTAAGGAGACCTGTGGACCTCACTTGGAGACTTTGTCTATGGTTCTGAGCCAGAGAGCACATGTTTGATGCACGGAGAAAGGACCTGGGGGTCATGAGGGTTGTCCCAGACCACGCCCTGCTTCTCTGCACTGCTACTGCCTCATTCTCAAAATTACTAGCACAGGTAGATACTGGGTAAGATCTCCGATTTTTCAGTTCTGATTGATAATCTGATCCTTTGTGTTAGCTCACAGAATAAGCTGTTTTCAGGCTAAATTAGGAAGAAAAGCAAGACGATAGTGCTGGGGAGCAGAGGAGACCACTAGAAAGACCTATAAAGGATAATTCCAAGTTACTCTGAATGTAACTGATCAGTTAGGTCATAAGTAGAGTGGTACAACTCATAGAATAGGGAAAAATATATTAAAGTTTATATCTGGTAAGTCTCTAGTATCTGGAATATCAAAATAATTATTACAACTCAATAGTAATAAAACAGCACAATTTAAAAATGAGCAAAGGGAATGAATAGTCACTTCTCAGAAGATGTACAAATGGACAATGGGCACATTGAAACATGCTCAGCATCACTAGTTGCCAGAGAAATACAAAGCAAATCAAAATGTACACCACTTCGTGCCCACTGGGATGGCTAGAATTTAAAAAGATGGATAATGATAAGCATTAAGGAGGATGTAGAGAAACTGGAACCCTCATTATATTCCTGGTGGGAAGATAAAATGGTGCAGCCATTTTGGAAAACAGTCTGGCTATTCCTCGAACAGCCGAACAGTCACCATATGACCAGCAGTTTCACTCCTAGGTATATGCACAAGAGCACTGAAAACGTACGTACACAATGTTCTTAGCAACATTATTTACACTAGCCAAAAGATGGGAATGACCCAAATGTCCATCACATGGTAAGTGGATAAACAAAATGGGACGCATCTGGACAATAGAATAGTAGTACAAAAGGGAACCAAGGGACTTGTAGCATGAACCAGTACATGTTGTAGCACATATATATGTTGCAGCATACATACATGTTATAGCATTTAGATGTATTGTGGTGTGTTGTGGTGTGTGCACATGACATGATGTGCACATGTGTTATGGCATGTACTGGCATGCACTACAGCATGTGTGCATCTTAACATGTTGCATGACAGATAGTCACACAGACCACGTGTTGGTTCCATTTCTATGAAGTGTCTATTTATATGAAATAAAAGACATCTGAACAGAGAGAGAGTAGATTAGTGGTTTGGGGTCTGAGGTGTCGGGGACAAAGAGGAATGAAGAGTGCTAATAGATGTGTGGTTTCTTCTGGGGGTGGTGAAAATTTCTGGAATATGACAGTGATGATGGGTATGCAATCTGGTGAATGTATTAAAACTCATTGAATTTTATACTTTAAAATGGTTAATTTTTTGGTATGACAATGATATCTGGGGGGAAATGAGAAAAAAAATAAAACACCACTGATGGTATATCCTCAGGGATAGCCTGGCTCACTCCATTACTAAGGGTAAGCTGGGGCCTGAATGAAGAAGCTTCCCTGTTCAAAGCCACACCAGCCGAGGGAAACCTGCCTCCAGATTCTGCCCCCTACTGGCCATGAAAGGAAATTGGGATGATGAGACTTAGTAAGAAGGAATATAATTTGCTATTCACAAAATGTGCTCTAACCTTCATTTGGAGTTCGGACAATAGTCACATCAGATAACTCTCAATAACTTTAATACCAAGTGGGCAGCTGACCTGAAATTAACCCACTGGGAGCAGTTAGGACTCACCAGGCCATTCAGCTATGATGCGCAACCCAAAGCAGCGTCCCTGCTTCATGGGCACGTGCCCTCGGCAACTATACAGGGCTCCGTCCTCACGCTCAGCAGGGCTCTGGGCTTGACTCAAAGCTCTGCTTTCACCATCCTGAAATTCTTATTAATTTTAACTTTCAACTTGTGTTTTACAAGTGAAGTCCACTGGGCCAAGGGAGCGTGTGCAGGCATAGAGGAAGTAGGTGTAACATGCACGTCACCATTCCTTGCACCCTCGAGCACAGAGTTCTATCAACCCATGGGACGAGGGAGTTCAGTGAGACTGCAAGCGAGCAGTACCGGGTGAGTGTGTTACACCCGGGACTGGCTGAGCAGAGTCACGGACAGCCCTGGAGGCCACACTCTCCAGGCAAACCAGGACTTGCTTTACATGAAGAGAGATGGCAACCCAAGGGCCCCATCCCGTCTTTTCTCAACGGTGTTACCTTTTTCCTGTGTTAGCCAACCACTTAGGCTGAAATGATGACATAAGAAAAATGAGAAGATAGGACAGCCCACAGCCCACAGTTCCTGTTCCTTTTAGCCTTCCTGACTCATCAGTAAGTTGAAGGTAGAGTGTTGACAGATTGAACACATATCAAAAAGAGAAGTAAAAATAGCTGTTAGTTTTGAACAGTGTTTCCACTGTTCTGGTAAGAACAAAATACCTGTGCATGCAGGAGTGACAAACTACCAAATTTTGCTGATTCTGCATACAGGTTAAATGCTCTTATAATTGCATTTTAAACTGGCATTGCACAATATAAAGAGGGGCTGTAAAATTCCTGTTAATATTTTTAAACCTTAACGTTTCTTTCCTTACAACGACATTAAATAGCCAAAACAAAACGAAACATTATAACAAGGTGAGAGAGACCGAGGAAGGAAGTAAAAAGATGTTTAGTATCTTTAACGGCAGTTTTTCCCATTTTATTTTGCCCACAAATTGTGTAGCAGGCCCTGCCTGAAGTTGCATCCCCAGCAGGTATGAGAAACAGGACTGCTGTCTGCCTGTCTCTCTGTCTTCATTTCTCTCTCTCTCTCTCTCTCTCTCTCTCTCTCTCTCTCTCTCTCTCAGCCTTGCTCTCTCTCTCAGCCTGAATGTAAGTACTGCTGGTAGAAAGCATGTTCTCTAAATTAAAATAGCAATAAATAAATAAATAAATGAGCAAGCACGCTACCAAGTTTCTACTAGATCAGTGTTTCTCCCACTGGAGTACACATCCCATTCACCAGGAGGTTTGCACAGCACAGAGTGCCGGGCCTACTCTCAGAGCTTCTGATTCTGCAGGTCTGGGCTGGGGCCTGAGCGCTTGCATTTGGACAAGCTCCCAGGTGTTTCAAGTGCTGCCACACCGCACTCAGAACCGCAGGTCTAGAGTACGTTTACCTGGGCCTTTGACATTTGTCCAAGCTGTGAGATGCCTTACAAAAGGCATGTTCTGTTACCTCGTAAATGTTCAACTGCTCCACTAAGTCCAGGTCAGTCCCTTTCTTGTTCAAGTGCCGCTGGGACACGGCTGCGATGCCCAGCTCCTCCAGGCAGTCTACCACGTCGTAGAAGGTGTCTTGGTCTGGCAATCCGGACAATGTCTAGACAAAGAAAGAACAGGGCACAGGCATGTCTTAGGGATCTGTCTCAAGGCTCACAAGGCATTTTTATTTTTTGCATAGTAGCCAGTGGCCATGATTATAACAATGTGGAACAAGGCAAGACAGATGACAAGTTCATTTGACAAAAGAGTTCTTTAGCAAAAGCAGAATGAACCCCAAGATCCCACCACCATAAGGTGCTGTGTACTCCCCTCCCCTTAAGTGTAGGCGGAGTACTCCCATGACTAGGCTACATTATATGGCAAGGGTGGAGGGGTTTTACAGTTGCCATTAAGGTCCCAAGTCAGCTGATCTTGAGCTAATGAAAGGGGAGACTGCCCAGGGTGGGCCTGACCTAATCAGGCGAGCCATCTAAAACTGGGCTGAGGTCTTTCGTGAACTCAGACACTAGAGAACGGTTCTCCTGCTCGCCCCAAAGCAGCAGCAAGCCACCATGAGTTGTACAGCTGCAAGGAAATGAGCTCTGCCAACAACCACAAAAGCCTGGAAGAGGACCCTGGGCCTCCGCTGAGACTCCAGCCCCAGTCAACACCTTGAATGCAGCTTTGTGAGACTCCGAGCAGAGGACCCAGCTAGGCAGTGCTGGACACCAGCCCGTGGAAACTGTGAGATGAGAAATCTGTGCTGTTTTAGGCTGCTAAGTTTGTGGTAATTGGTTACATGGCAATAGAAAACCAACACAGTCGGTGATCAGAAAGTCCTGTTAAGATCTATCTACCAACAGCTGGAGTGATAACAATTTAATGATTCCCTTTTCTTTCCATTTGGGAGGCCTTCCCCTTGGTCTGTGAAATTTAGGAAAACGTGAGAGATGTCAAAGCAGCACCTCAGAGACAAAAAAAAAATAAATAACCTAAGAAAAGAAAAGACTGACTTCTCCTTGTTACAGGAAGGATGATCTCAGATCAAGCCTCCTGTCAGAACTGGAAGGACCTTTTTAGGTGATTTACTCTAAGTCCCTTATCTTATAAATGAGGGAGATAAAGGTGGGGGAGGGGAAGAATTTGCCTGAGGTGACAGGAAGTTACTGAAGACTTGGAATCAACCCTGGGCTCAGAGCTGCTATCCTAGTGTCCTCCCCTCACACACTCATGCTCTCCACACAAATTATTCTGACCTTCAATTTCAGACACAGTCCCTATTTATTTCCCTAGCTTTGCATTTCTAGGAACCCTGCATACATATTTCAAAAGTGCTGTAAACATGGTGACTTGCCTTGGAAGAGAAAAACACCAATACTTTCCCAACAATCACTTCACAGCACCATCTTCCCTAACACTTCTATTTCGGGGCTATTCATATCAGAAAGAATGTCTTTATTTGTAATGCAAACAGTGCCCTTTTCCTTTCTAGGTGGAGCCAAGAGGATACAACTCACTGTTCTTTAGATCAGAGATGAATGAAAAATCACCGGGACCCAGCAGTTTAGTAAGTCGGGGTCCCAGCAAGGACACAGAACAGGGGGCTGGGAACCAGCTGACGCTGTAATAAATGGCGCACACACCTTAAGCCGCCAAGGGTGCAAGAGTGTGCATGTCTGCAGGCGCCAGGCCAGGCACTCAGTCACCAAGGCATTAGCAGGCACAAGGGTCCGCTGAGCTGAACAGCGTCCAGCTCCCAAAGCTAGTGGAAGAAGTAGGCACCCGTTCAAAGATGGCTATCATCGGAATAAGCCCATCCTTTGGTCTTAGTCTCTAGCACTTGGTTAAAAGATGAGGAGACGGAAAGGGCAACACCAAGGCCAGGCCAGGGCTAACAGCTGGAGGTGCCCTAAACTGACTGCTGAGTCCACCCAACACCAAATGCACAATCTGAGGAATGCACTGAATGGTGTTCCAGGCTAGATTGAAAGCTTCTGCACCACAGTGCAGGGGCTGGGATGTGCCACAGAGAAAGGGGCCACTGGCAATCTCCTCACCTCTCACTTCCCCTCCTTCCCTTTTTCCCTCCTGAGTTCTTTTTCTCAGAAGTTTCCAGGGGGTTGAATCCCTAGATCTAATCTCCATCACTTTAGTAAGCCCAACCATGATTGGTTGGGAGGGTTGCTATTAAATATTTAAACAAATAGGTCTATAGAACCAAACAGACTTATGGAGCCTTTGCTCAAAAACAGGCCAAGAATTGAGTGTAGTAAGAGGTCAGTTGTCATTTCCACTGTGAAAATTGGGGCGTGGGCCAAGCCTGCGCTCCCTCACCTTCCCTGTCCTTCGCCACAAACAAATACAGCATCTCTCTCGCCTGCACGGGCAGCGGACTACACGTCCCAGAAACACACTCACCTGTTTCAGCCCCTCTCTCCCATGCCGGCCATTCTGCCACACTCCCACCTCTCCACGGGCCCTGTCCTCCTGTTCCTACCAGCGCCTCCCCGCCACGGTGCCCACCTGTGGCAAGGGGGCAGCTAGTCCAGAACAGTCTGGGAAGCAAATCTCTCCTGACACCTTCACTCTCAAATGACCCCTCACGGCCTGCTTCCTGCTACCTCTCAGACCTCGTCCTGCCGGACCTTGTGGCAAGCGAATCTTCCACAGGGGAAGAAATCTCTGTGCTAAAGGACATTTTCGTCTCCTATCCCGGGGTTTTCACGGAGTCCATCAAACCAGTGCGGCCAAAGCCTGAACACAAATGTTCGTGGCAGCATTGTATGTGAAAGCCAGAAGCTCTAAACACCCCAGTCTCCTTCAGTGGGTGAAGGGTAGCAAACTGTGGTGTTACCTACACAGGGTCAGGCACCGCAGCAGAAAGGAGTGAACTATTAGTGTACCTGGTAACAGAGATGAATCTCTACCACTGAGGGAAGCTAACCTGCAAGGGATACATCCCACACGATTCCACGTGGCATTCTTAAACGGCAACACCATAGTGACAGAGAATGAACCAGTGGTTGTCAGGGCATGAAGAGGGGACTGGGATGTCATCATGACAACAGAGAGATTTGCAGGGAGATGTTCTGTATCCTAATTATGAAGGCTATCCTTAACTACATGTGTGTTAAAACTTACATAGCTAAAACCAAAGGGAAAAAGTCAATTTTTGCTGTAGGGTAATTAAAAAACAATAAAATGAAATATAAAAACAAAGGCAAATACTGAGCATGGATTCCATCCAGGCTGCTTCCTCCTTGGCCCTGCTGGAGCCGCGTCTCTCCCGGCAGCTCCCTGGAACCCTCCTTCCCCGAACTCGCCAGCCAGCCCCTCGGTAGCACCCCTGGTCACTCATCTTCCCATCTGCCTCAGCTCATTCTATGAGGTGGTCAATAGATGATGCCCCCCACCCCATCAAGTGGGGGGTTCCCACTGAGGGAATTTCAGCCGGGTCAAGACGAGGCACCACGTAACTTTGGCTTCCAAGGTAAGAGGTTGCTTCTGAAACTCCCTCAGACCTTCTGATGACATGGGCTGGGGCTGGGGGTGAGGATGGAGGTGGGGATTAATTAGTCTGGGTCTTGGAAGCCCCCCATTAACGTCCCTGTTTAACAGAGGCACATGTCAGCCTCAGAAAGGACATGAGCAGCCTAGAATTCAGTCCCCTTGTATTATCACAAAAATGTTAAATTTTTGAATTCCATATTTATTAGGACCTCTTTTATTATGTTGAAACAAAAGTTAGGGAAGCAATATAATAATTTACTAGATTTCAGAGTCTAAATTTTTTCCAGACGCACATAACATTTCCCTTCAGCATCTTGTCTGGGTCTCAGAGGACTGTCCTCACTGGGGCCGTGAGCACAGCTAAGATCCAACAGGAGACAACACAGCCGCTGTGGGCGCCAGCAGCCTGCTGACCTTTCTGAGGAAAAGACAACATTCTCGGTCATGTCGTCAGGACCTGCCTGGACTCCCCCGGGGCCAGAACTAACAAAAGATGGGTCAGAACTGCCAGACAGAAAGAGTAAGCGAGGAATTCCTGGACATTAAGTGCCGCACGAGGCCAAGGAAAGTGTGACACGCAGCGGGTCCCTGCCAGGGACTGGCGGCAGGACGGCCACGGCAGACCGGTGCTGCCAGGGCCAGTAGGGCAGCCGAGCACGGCCTCTGCCCGTGAGATGGGCAGCACCGACATGGAAAACACTGGGCAAGGGAGAAAATTCCATTTTTGCTGAATTCAGTGTTTTCCAAAACCATGTCAGTGACTGAAGATGACGGGAAATGGATGACCTTAACCTTAAAAAACCAACAGAAAATTGCTTTACAATTGCATGGTAAAACAAACTCACAGGTTTTTAAATGAACGTGAAATTATTGTCTACCAAAAAGTGGTGTTTGCTCTCCACCAGGACTGCAGCAGATTTTCCTGTGTCCTCACCAACAAATGCCTTCCGTTAAAAAGCATCTACTGCCGATGTGACCAGGGGAAATGTCGTGTTCTTTTACTGTGTGTTTCTTTTAATCCTCACAGATTTAAGGTTATTATTTTTTTTCCACTGGGTTCTCAATATATTTAAAATACTATCATTTTCTGCTCCATTTTTTGCAAATAATTTCCCAGTTTGTCACTTGCCTTTAGCTTTTATTTGTGGTTTTCATTTTTACAAATCAGACCTTAGCGTTTTGTGCACTGAGATATTTAAATCCTTTCCTTTGGAAATTTTCATGACTGGTGTTATTATTAAAGTAACCCTTTACCTATCAGAGACCAACCAATCTTCACATCGAGCTATTTCTCATTTTTCTATGGTTTGATCTATTACATTGAACTCTTTAATTAATCTGACATTGATTTTGGTATATGGTCAAAGTGTCTTTTTGTTTATTTCCATGTAGTAAGAGGTGCCCCAATAATAAATGAAGCTAGCCCAGCCCCCTTGATTCGGTCACAGCATGAGAAGTTCTGTGCACTGGGGGCGTGTTGGCATTCCTCTGGTCCCCCCTCATCTTCGTGCTGAGCAGAGAGCCAGGCTGCCTTGTTTTAATCCTGAGAGTGTGCACGACATTTCCATATCTAGTGGAAGTTACTCCTTATAGTTATGCTGCCCTCTCCTCTTTTTCCCCGGTTCATGAGGGAAAACGTTTCTCCAGTTACATTTCAGGAAGAGGTTCTGGGTGTTGCCCACGGGCCTGCACCCGGCAGCCTGTGGAGTGCACAGGAAGGCCCACGGTGGGCTGGTGTGGGGCCTGGGGTCCAGGGTGCAGCGATCTGGAAGAAATAACCACCTGACCCAGCCTCAGGTCTTAAGGAGGAAAGGATGGAGGTCCTGCCTGGAGGGAATTCCGGTCCCAAAAGTAGGCTGTCCCAGGCCAGCATGGGACCAACCCGCTGTCAGAGCAGCATCTCTGGGGGTGAATACTGAAGACTACAACGCCCTTCTAGGTGGTGACTAGGGAGGACAAAGATGGCAGGATGAGAGCACAAGGGTGTAGTCACCACCGTAAAAGGAGGATGAGACTGGCCCTACCCCCAGGAATTTTTCATTCAGCCCCCAGCAGTCAGAATTCAATAAGCAGTGGAGTAAGAGCCCCTTCATCTCTTCCTGACTGTGTACTATTTCCGTAGAGTAAACTTGCTAATTAACTTCTTAAGGAAAAATGTTTTTAAAGGGACATCTTCATAGGAAAAGTTGTTATAAAATTCTCTCTGTCATAGTTCTGGTTTTATTGGAGAAGACTGAAGCACGGGAAGCAAGCAGACACTCACGGGGCTTCACACATGTGTGCACCAGCACACATACCATGTGTGAGTGTAAAGGGTTTTCTCCTGAGGGGAAGCACACCACAGTTACAGTTCCCACCACTGTGATGGGGACTCTGGGATGTGACACTTGGTCAGAAAGGCAAATTCTAAGTTTTCACCCTGTATTAGTTCCCTAAGGCTGCCGTACCTAATTACCACAAACAGAGTGGCTTCAAACAACAGAAATGTATCCTCTCAAAGTTGGAGAGACAAGAAGTCTGAGAACAAGGTGTCGCAGGGTCACGCTCTCTCTGAAGACCCTCAGGGAGGGTTCTGCCTTGCCTCGTCCTGGACTGGCTGCTGGAGATCCTTGGCTTTCTCTTTAGCACCACTCGGCTTACAGGTGTATCACCCCGATCTCCACCCCTATCTTCACGTGGCTGTCTTCCTCACGGACATGTGTGCACATCGTCTTCCCTCCAGGTCTGTCTCTTCTCATAGGGACACCAGTCTTATTGGACTAGGGCCACCCTAATGACCTCATGTTAACTTGACTACATGACCCTCTATTTTCAAATAAGGCCTCATTCATAGGTAGGTACCAGGGATCGAGACTTCAATACGGCTTTTGGGGGAGACAATGCAACCCATAACAAACATTGACCAACCTTGTTCACTAAAGTCATTGCATAAACTAGCAGCTCCGTGTCAACCCCATCTTTTTCCTCCAGGATTTCCATGATATTTGACCAGGGTATGACTCCTAGAAGCAAAGCAAAATCATTAGGAACAGCAATTCCACATTCCTTATCCAACTCCCCTCCGAGTTTATCTACAGACTCTTCACCCACGGATGGCAGTGTCTCTCAGTTGCCAAATATCAAAGTGTGACACATGCTTCGAATGAGGTGACAATACACCCCGTTATCCTTGTCCACTTGAAAATGAATATTCTTCATTGTCAAGAGGCCTATCAATTTGCTTGGAAGGTTCCTTTATTTTAATTATGTGACTTTCAAAAAGTTCATTCATATGCAGTTTTTTAGGCCATGTGTTACCCTCTCCAAGTACAGAAACTCTTGAAGAGCTCTCTCTGTGCAACAGCATGCTACACTCTGACCTCCTGCAAGGGGAAGGGATGCGGGAGCCATTCGAGTGTTAGCAGTGGGCTCCAGGAACTCATAGTGAAACTTGAGTCTAGCAAACATTTCAAGAACAGAAGTACATTATCTGTATTTAACCAAGGCACAACTACTGTCTAAGCATAAACAAGGTACAAGGAACTGGGTCTAGTGGGAGGCTGCCCTTGAGAGTTTTAGCATCTAATGGGGCAGTTAGGTCTAAGCACCAGAACACATGTCAGCACAGAGTGAAAGCACTCAAAAGGCAAGAACACTTGTCGACGCCTGCCACTCAGCCAGGGAGGTCTTGGTGCAGAGGTGGTTCCTAAGTGGGGCTCTGCAGGCACAGGCTCATGGGTGGTTATCCTCTGGCTCCAGGAGGAAGTAGAAAGACCCTGCACATCAGCACTGCCAAGGCCATGGCCACTAAAGGGACAAAGTACCCTGACACATTTCCTGTCCCTGAGACAAATATTTGAAGTGTTGCCCTGTCCTGGCGTGGCTGTGTGGAACACGAAGCCCTTTCCTGCTTTCTCTATAAAGATCTCAAGGATATTGTTTATTTTTTGCTGATGAAAGTAAATTCTAAATGAACCTAAAACCAGTGGCTTCTGAGTGCTGGTTCTTGGACGGGTTGTGTCGGAGCTGAAACGTCTGCTGAAAAGGGAATGGAGATCCCTGAGAAGGCACGACATGGGTTAAGCTGGGGCAGTTTAGAACCAGGAGGTACGTGCACACAGTAAGAAAAGGAGAGAAGACAGAGTGCTTTTAAAAAGGAACAGGCACCTCCTGTGCATGAGAAAGACAGAGATGTAGTTTGATGTAGAGATCCATTGGCTCTCCAGCAAGTGAACAGAAAGCCTTTTCCTTGAGCCACGTTACCCAGTTGGTCAGAATGAGACAGGCTTCCATACCCTTTCAAACCCTGAACACAAGAGCATGAGCCTTTGCCTGTTAACTACTGAATTATCTTCTTGCTGATACTTAGACTATGTGGAAGTCCTCACCTGTTCTTCAAACCCCAGCCAAGTAACCACTTCTTCCCTCAGGACAGTCAATCAACGTGGTTCGTAGGTCTTGGGTCTCACTGTCCAGGGGCAGTTCAAGCACTTGAGGTGCCCGTGCTTGTGTTTGTAACAGTAAGAAGAGCAACTTCTATTATTCACACTCAGCACCCAACCTCAGCAGATAACACACGCCCACGTATGGTTAAAGGGAAGACTGTGCAGGAGAGAAAGCACTGAAGCTAGGAATGTTGGTGGTGCTGTTGGGCCCAGAACTGCATCTGAACACATTGGAGCCAAAGGTGCCAAACAGAGCAAGGGAAGAAAAGGCCGAGAAGCAAAGGCAAGCACCTTGCAGAGGGGGAAGTAGCCAGATTATATCCCCTCTCTCCTGACATGTAGACGGACACACCTGTGCACCATTTTCTCCTTTGTAATGAAAACACGCAAACACTAGCTTGATTTAATTGAAAAGCATGTTCTTCAGCTAAGATATCTGATTCTCTCATTACTAGTTAAGGATTTCAAGTCTGTAAACTAGGATATATTCATACACTGTTGGAATGAAGGTTCATTCTACTTTGATTGTTGAAGGGACAGAAAATGGGAAATATTCAGAAGAATGAAGGTGAAGGCAAGAAAACATTTTGGTCCAACATGGTGGCCTTGGGCAGGCTCAAGCTGGCCAAGGTCAGGCACTAGCAGCTGTACCCTTCCCACTAGTGGCCACTGGCCAGAACTAAGGGGTCCAGTTCACCCCAGCAGCACAGCCTTTGCTTGGCCTATACAGTGAGTGTGTGTGTGTGTGTGTGTGTGTGTGTGTGTGTAGGAGGAGGTGTCCTGTTTCAGAATCAGAAACCATACAGTCTTACTCCTTCACATACCAGAAGAAGAAACTGAGCCCTGGAATGGTGGAATGAATGGTGGCTCAGGACATGCATCTGTATCGGAGTGATGGAATCAACCTCATAGGATTGCTCTGAGGTGCCACTGAGATAAAGCACTTCACCTTTTTTTGCCTTAGCACTGACGAAGCAGTACACTAGAAGACAATCACCTACTCAATCATGATCCCTCCCCCACCCCTCTCTGACTCCACCCCCAATCACTGCAGTGAGTGCAGGCTCCCTGAGAACCTGTTTTATTTTTTCTCTGATGTTTCAAGCACACAGCTGGCATTTAAATATTTACCAGAGATATAAAAAGTTGTTGCATGGGAAATTGTTAGCATAGTGTCTGTACATGGTAGGCACAAGAATATCAGTAGCTGTAATGGTGGTGGGGGTGGGGATGCCACCCCCAGAGGGCAGGCTCCCAGGCAGGCCCCGCTTCCCACCAAACCACAGTGCCTCTCCTCAACCCAGAATCAATTGCTCAGTACTTTCCTCCTTGGTCTCTGTATTAAATCCCAAAGGAAACGATACATTTAGCACAATGCCTTGTACAAGAGTTGGTCTAATACTTGAACAGACGGTCCTCACAGTACATTCCACGTCTTTCAGCACGACTGATGAACACACTTAACGTACATACTCCGGCCATAAATACTAATGGAGACAGAGCTCGAGTTGTCAACCCCTAACTTCCACTGTGCTCTGTGCGCTCTTCACAGATCAGTACATCCTCCAGCAGAAGTCAGGGACGGGACAGATTGAAAGGGAGGCTGGGTATCTTCCCTGTTAATCACGTGTGGAACAAATGTTCAAGAATTATGTCATATTTCATCACCTCACATTCAAATGAAAAACGGAACTTCTTCAAAAGCAGTACCAAAAAAAAAGCAGTACTGCACCGAATTAGTGCTGACTTAACAATTTATGACTGAAATTTCAAAACAGGTTACCCAGGCGGGCCACTTGCCCCACCCTCTGTCTGTCTGTCTGACGGGCAAACGCAGCGAGTCAGAGGGAAGGGCCCCCTCCCCAGGGCTGCAGAGGCCTCTCCACCCGCTCCCTGTGGATCGGCACAAGGAATTCGCAAGGGAAGGGAGTCCCTGTCACAGCAGAATGACAAAGCGAGTCCCTCTCGCGGGCCTGCACACACGCTTCACTGCCTTCCGACCTTTTTGCCAGGCCCCGTCCTGGCAAAAGACGCATGGCAAAAGGCACATGTCCACTGGAAAAAGAAAGTGACTTCAAGATCCAACCCAAACAGAAGATGATTCAACAGCCTGAGCAGACATGTGTGTCTGCTTTAATTTTTTTTTTAAATTTGAGGAAAGATGGCCACTGCTTTGTCTGGGGGGAGAGACTGAGGACAGTGCAGAATCTCTGTTCGTGCGTGCCCCAGGGACCGCCTGAGACTCACCTTTCATTCCAGCCCCGGAGCAAAAGTGCCCATTGTCTGCCTCAAACTGGGCATTTTTCATTTTCATTAAGTCATAAATATGTATGAGTCCCTATGTAGGACTGAAACCCCTCCGCTTTTTTGTGGGCTCCCTAATTGGACCACTCGTGGTCAAAGTGGCCCAAGGGCAAACTGTCCGCACTCACACAATGAGCCCTTCTGGTTAACGTACGAGTAACATTCATAAAGCCCCTAGGGGAATTTATTCTGGGACAACTCCATTTGCTGTTGGTGGAAGTAATTTTTGAAGACATGTAGATTATTTGTTGGTTTTCTGTGTTGACTCTTTGAATCTGATTGTTTTCATCCCCCCAAAGAATTCCTTTCTATTAAAATGAACCAGTCTATACTTTAACAACCCCATTCTCCACCCTGTCTCCCCAGAGGAATGTGTCTAAAGCCACTTGAGGAGTAAAATTTATGCCTAAACGTGTGCACAGTGGACATGCTCGGCTGGCCCTCGGTCAGCGCCGGCACCTCTGTCTTCGCTCACCCAGCTGAGAAGGAAGTGGGCAGCTGCTGCCAGCCCTGCCGGTGGAAACACACCTGGGAGGCATGTTGCTCTCTGCAAACACCATGGTGTATTTATATGTTTAATTCCACCGTGGGACTCAGGAATGCTTTTCCTAGCAGTAAAATAGGATGATGTTATACACATGCATTATAAAATTATGGCTAAGACCACACATGTCCGTAGAGAAACACGCTGTTGAACCACATATGATAAGCAAAGTCCTAATTTTTTTCCAATAGTGATATTCCTTTCTCCCCCTAGCTGCTGGTGCTCAGTAGCAGAAAGATGACAGTAGGTGCCTACAACTTAATTTTACAGCCCCCCAAATGAAGTTAAGTAAATAATCTATTAGCTTCTTTAATTTTTTTTTAACAAATTGGGGAAAGACGGCCATCATTTTATCTCAAAGGAGAAACTGAGTACAGCCCAGAGCCTCTGGCTGGGAGAGTGGATGGAGCCCTGAATGAGGGTGCCATGCCCTGGGTGCATCTCAGGATCACTCTCCTGGCCCACAACGTACCTTGTACGAAATGTGAAGCCCAAGGAAGGAAACTCTTGAGCTCCCAAGTCTACAAAGTCAGAGCATAACCCCAAGGTCATGAGAAGACTGGCCCCTTCTAACATGACAAAGGCTCAGGGTTACCTGAAATTTAGGACAGGACAATGAAGAGTCCGTTCACCATTCTAAAGTAACCCCCAGAGCTGGGGAATGGAGCATGACTCCTCTAAGTGTGAATGAAAGGATCCACCTCGCTCTCTTCCCAAACACCCATCTTTGGCCCTAAATCTCATTCACTGGCCTTGCAAACACCAACCCTGGTTTCTGAGCCATGGGCAGTTTTCATATTGGATCCACAGCTGGCCCCGTGATCCACAGTTGGCCGTAAGGGATTCCAAATCTAACAGCAGATGGCAACATGCTATAGGAGAAAGAAACACAAAGGCCTGCCCTGGTCTGGAGCCCATCTTCCAGACTCACAGCCCCTGCCCATCCATGAGGATTTGTCTCTGTTACACACATCCGCGCAGAGGCCTGGAGTGGGCCCCGGCCTGCAATCTGCCATGTGGGGAGCTGGCATCTGCCTGTGCATTCAGGGGGAAAGTATGGGAGCCCAGTGTATGTCTCTGGATGGTTTTCATTAACTTATATTCCAATTTGCAAAGTAACCAGTGATCTAGCTTCTTTCACCTTTGAATTTAGCCCTGGAAGTGGGTCTCAGCGCAACACCGAGTCACAGACACAAGTGATTTGAATCCAAGGAGGCTATTTAGAGCCCTGGTTTCCTTTTGACAGTTGTATCTTGGCTGATTTGTTCATAAGCACGTGCACAGACACATGCACGAAACCATAAGGAAACACATCACCGTGTTAACACTGTTTCTGTCTGGTGAGATTAGAGGTGATGTTGCTATTGTCTTCTTTATACTGCTTTTTTTTAAAACAATTTTTCTACATAGAGTATTACTGTCATAATCAAAAAATAAACATTATCAAGTTTTTGTTCTTTGAGTTTTGCTGGGATGATGATGAAGAAGAAAGGAAGAAGGAGGAGGAGGAAAGAAGAAGAAGGAGAAGAAGAAGAAAAAGAAGAGGAAGAGGAAGAAGAGGAGGAGGAGGAAAAGGAGGAGGAAGAGGAAGAGAAAGAAGAAGAATCATCTTACTGGTGAAGAACCAAAAGTTGTTTGTTGTTTTTTTGTTTTTAAAAGGAACAAAACAAAAAGGCTGAACCTCTTAGTTTCAGGCTTCACAGTGTTATAGGGGCCACAGCACAGTACACACTAAACCAAATCCAAAGCTGATTCTTCAGCAGGTGTGTAAGGCAGGCCAGCTAGGGGCCAGGACACCAACAGGGGAGCCAGGCAGCCTGTCCTCAGGCAGGGCACTCGCTCAGGGGAGACGGGCCATGAAAACGACCCAACAGAGAAGAAGGCCACACGGGGGCTTTGAGAGCACATGGCCGTCTGACCCAGGATAGGGAGGGTGTGGTTCAGGCCAGCTGGGAGATGGGGGTGGTAGGTGGACAGGGGCTGGACAGCACAGGTCAGATGAAGAACTTTGACCTAATCCTGGTGGCACTGGGAGCCATTGGCAGGTATTGGGTAGTGAATGATGTGACCAAATTTGTGTTTTAGAAGAATCTTTCATCTGCAGAGGCTGGGGTAGCACTTTGGGGAGGCAAGGGGTGCCAGGTGAGAGATGGTGAGGGACCCCAGCAGGGAAGGGACATGGGGTAGAGGCAGGGGTACAACCAGGGGTCAGAGCCAATAAAGCATGTGTGAAAGGAGGGGAGGAAGGAGCCAAGATAAGCTGGGCAAGATGGGAAAGGAGGAGAAACAGCTGGTCCCTGTGTGTGTTCAGGGAGTGAGGACAGAGCATAAAGACAAGCTCAGAGTCAGGCCTGTCCTGGGTGTGCCTATGAGTGCTGCCAAACCTCGTTCTGTCTCTAATCTTTATGTACTTACTATCCCCCCAAAACATGTTTCCTGCAATGCTCGGTCCACACTAAGGGAATTCTGTTTATTCCTAATCCTGTTTTGAACATGTGAAAAGTAGAAGACTTCCTACATCAGATATTTTTACCTTGATGAAACGAGGGGGCTGGGACCACTCACCTCGTTTCGTGTCAACGGCAGAGACAGCCTGGACCAGAAGAGGCGCATTTGACTCCGAGTACTCCACGAAGACGAGCAGCAGCTTCAGGGCTGTCTTCACCACCAGGCGGAACTGCGCAGAAAAGAAACCATCACGTAGGGGCAGACGCAGCCGTGTGCACCGAAGGCCTCGGCTCCTAACAGCAGCTGGCACCCAGAGCTCGCTGCAGGCCAGGTGCTCCCCTCAGCTTACACACAACTCTCCACTGGAGCCTCAGGAGGCAGGACCAGAATTTGAAGCCAGGGCCTTTGGCCCCTGAGCTCACACCCCGTGGTCTCTCAGTATCCCAGGTAGGGACTGCTGAAGCACTTACAGGAGTTCCCCCTCATCCATGGGGGTGCACGCCAAGATCCCAAGTAGATGACGGAACCCACAGATGGTACCAAACCCTTTGTGCTATGTTTTTTCTTTTACGTACAAATGTACAATAAAGTTTAATTTACAAATCAGGCGTAGTAAGAGATTAACAATAACTTATCATTAAAAGGACACCTATAACAACACACCGTAATAAGTTACACGAAGATGGTCTCTCTCTCTCACTGTTCTATACTCATGCTCCTGCCTGTGATGATGCAAGATGATACAAGGCCGGCCCACATGATGAGATGAAGTAGGGTGCATGGTGTACACATCAGGACGTAGGATTGGGCTCCTGCAAGGGTGACTTGAACACGAGCACTGCAATGGTGTGGCCATCGTTCTGATAAACTGAGATGGCTATTAAGTGACCACCTGGCAGGGTGCGCATGTACAGTGTGGACACCCTGAACAAAGGGGTGATTTCTATCCATATCCTGGGGGGCATGCAGCAGGACAGCACAAGATTTCACCATGCGACTCAGACTGGCAAGCAATTTAAAAGTCATGAATTGCTTATTTCTGGAATTTTCCACTTAATATTTTTAGACCACAGTTGACTATGGGTAACTAAAACCACAGAAAGCAAAACCACAGAAAGCAAAACCACAGATGAGGGGGAGGGGCAATTACTGTACTTGGTTTTTTTAAGACTGGAATATTGTGAAGAAGGAATGATCACAATTCTCATTTTTCTGGTAAGGGCACAGGGGCCAGGAGGCTCGGTGACTTGTCCAACGTCACAACAGCTGGCTCATGCGAGCAGGAATCTGAACCACATCCCGTTGTTAAACCTGAGCAAAGAAGGCCATCCGGCGCCTAAAACCCACCCTTGCTGGGCCCGGAGCATTTGTGAGGAGCCACACACAGCCCAGGCTCCCTCCTTCACACAGGCCACAGGTGACATGCCCAGAGAGATCCCCAAACCTCCCAAGTCCAGTGCAGCCAGCCCTGGACTGTGGCAGCCTGGGAAGATTTCAGGTCAGCTCAGTCCCTGTGCCCACAGACGCTGCTGCAGGCTTCACCCGCCATCTCCTTTTCTAGGCCCGCTTCCTCCCAAGAACCTCCACCTCGGGACACTCACATGCTAACTAACCATCTACTGTAAATGGTTCATCTAACGCCCCAGCCCCAGCAGTTTGTCTGTCAGTGCCCTGGCCCCCACAGGCAGCTACCCCGTACAGGACAGAGGGGCTTATTTGCACTGTGTCTGCAGGGCCTAGAATGGCATTTGGCACAGAGTGGGCTCAGCGATGTTTCCTCAATGAACAGATGAGTCGATAATGACCCTCACCTCCACCACCGTGGGTATGGAGAATCGGCTCCAGGCTCTCCACCTGCAGCCCAAGGAAGACCCAGGCCCTCCTGCAGGCATCTTCTTATATCAGAACATTAGGGTCAGGTGGAGACTTCACAGAGAACCTGGAGCGCTGTGCTCTCCCCGCAGGGAACAGGGTAAGAGTGGCACCCACCCTAAGTCATGTCCCCAAAATCACGCAAGCACCTCCACTCCACTGTCCTTTTCTCCTCTGTCACATTGCCCTAGTAAACCATCTGTCTTTTCCTGGAATCCACATTTCTCTCCAGCCAGTCCTGTGGTTCTCAGCTCCCCTCTGTAGGGAAACTTCTCAAAAGAGCTGTCATACTGCTGGTTCCACTTCTTCACTTCCCGATGACGCTCAACCAAATTCAGTGCAGCTTCTATCACCACCGAGCACATTAAATTACTCTTAAGGTTGCCCATGACCTCCATGCAGTCAAACCCAATGGCCTCTTCTCTATGCTCCTTTTAGCTCAGTGAATTGCCCTCTCCAGAAACAATATCCCCCTTCCACGGCTGACCCAGGCTCCTACCTGAATGACCCCCTCTTTGCTGGCTCCTTCTGTGGTGCTCAGTCAACCTCTAGGTGAGAAGAGGCCTCCGAGTGCACTCCTGTGCCTTTTCCTTCTCTTTCCTCACCATCTCTCGGTTTGAAGTCTCACCTGTGACTCAGTGCTAACTGCTGCTTCCCAGGCTTAACCTAACTCCTGGTCCAGGTGACTGCACACTCACCTGACCCCTGACACCCGCACTCGGATGCTAACAGGCACCTCATATTCAATGTGGCCAAAAGAGAACACTTGATTTTTATTCATGCTCACTCCATCCCACCTACCACTCCCAGCCTGTTCCTTGCACAGTCCCCATCTCATTCCAGGGACCCGCCACCCCCTGAGTGGCAGGTGGGAGTCCCCCTGAACTTCGCACACCCTGTTCTCACAAGTCCATTGGCCAGTGTGACAGAGCCTGCTTCGAGAGCTGCCCTGGCTCCATCCACCTCTCCGCCTCCCTGTCCACAATGGACCACTGTGACAGCCTCCTAAGTGTATACATCCAGCCTTGTCCCCTACAGTCCTGTCACTAAACAGCAGCCAGAGTGACCACCACACTCTCACCCCCCACCAGCTCTGCAGCGCCCTCATGAGACAACCCACTCTTGCAGGGTTTGGGTCCTGTCCCTCTCCCTCCTGCCCAGTTTGCCCCTACCTTTCTTTAGTCATGTGACCCTATGTTTTTAACATACTGAAGTGTGTTTACGGTTGAGTCTTCTTGTTGGCTATTCTTCAACCAGTCACCATGGAGTGGCCTTGTCCTACCCTTCAGGCCTGAGCAATTTCCGCTCATGGGAGGTGTCTTCCTGACCACTTCATCTAAAGGAGCCCCATGGTCACTCTCACATCACCCGGTGTTCTCCACATCCCTCATTACGACCTGAAATTGCTGCACATGCGTTTGTTCTCCTGATGCTCCTCTGTGGCCCCGCCTAGCACACAAGCCCCTGTGGCAGAGACGTTTAATGGGACACACCGGGAGCAGCAGCATCTGTCCCCCAGAGCTGCTCAGTCAGCGCTGCACAGGGAGGCAGGCGGGCACGCCCTTCCCACAGAGGCTTCGTCTGCAAGTCTGTCCCCCTTACACTGTGGGAAGCAAGTCACTCTGGCCCCGGCTCCCACTTCCTCACCCCGTCGCAGTCCCCAGCAAAGCCGAGGCCCCTACACAACTACACGGAGGACAAGCAGTACCTTGACCTTCATGGTTACATCCTTACCACACTGGGGATTAAGTTCTTTGGAGGGCTTTCAGCTCTTACGGGCACTTCACCTTCAGAACTTGAGTCCTGCATTTGGTCCTCTGTTGCCTGAGAAGGAATAAACTAAATTCCAGAGTGTTTTTCTCACCAACTACAAGGTTGGGGGTAAGAAGAGAAGGCATGGCATAATGAACTGCACTATCTTTGTACATTTAGAGCCGAAGACATTTCTTCAAGTAAATAAAACACCCAGCAAGTCCAGGCCTGGTGACTTCCTCAGTGGGCGGACTGTCATTATGTGGTTTAAGCCTTCTCAGTGTCTTGCTGGGAAAGAACCTGGCTGCTGCCCAGCCCTGCTCCCCCTTAGCTGCTCTCAGCAGGGCCCCTCACACCCATTTCATCAAGCCTTCTTTGGAGAATCTCTGTGGTCACGGGCCCTGGCTGACATGGTCCCAGGACCCAGTCTCTTAGCCACTCTCTGCTCCTATGCTCTCCAATTAAGACACCACTGTTTTCTAGCAAATCTTTTTCTATTGGTCTCAACATGCCTATTCATGTGTCTTCTTCTCCTTTGCTGTAAAGAGTCTGTGGGGAGCTTTTTTTGCCACTGTAATTAAAAAGATGGGAGAGAGTGAATCCTCAAATTCTTCTGACTCATGATTTCAGATTTCTATGCATTTGGCTTCAGTTGAATCTAAGTTTATGTTTATATGTGTTTGGAAGACTTACTATATAAAATTAATAATAAACATATTAGGTAGCTAAACTACTTTATAAAAAGAGAGGGCACTGGAATATTAACATCAAAATACACCCAGCAGGCCTCCTCCTCAGAAATACCTCATTAGCATTACTGCATGCACTTGATAGTAAAAAAAGTGAGTTAACTTCAAAAGACCTCTGCATCACTCCCTCATTTACCCAGAAAGCACTCAATTTGATGCCCTCAAGAACGTGGAATGCAATGAGAACCCTCCAGCGTCTTGCAACAGCCACATGCCCATTCCTCCAAGTCCACAGACACCGCTCATCTCAGAGCTCTTAAAAATCCACACTCGGGGCCACTTGCACTTATCTTAAACACTCTGATGGGCATGGCTACTGGGACTCTCAGCCCGCATCCGCTGAAAGGGGCAGAGCAGAGCCCAGTGATAGGTCGGGTAAGGCAGGTCCACTGTGGCACCAGGAGCGAGGTTCACGAATGAGGAGGGTGGGAAGGAGCCGCACAGCTGCTGGCGCGCACACCACCGCGTGGCTCAGACACTGGAGGCTTCTCTACAGGAGGTGGCAATGTCGCTTCAGCCTGAATCGTCTTTCTCAGCTCTGCCTGGTGCTCCTTCACGGTCTAATGAACAGTCTCCTTGAAATGACTTATAAGCTCGAACGCATGCTCATACGTCTAGTACCAAGGGAAAATCAGTCAGAATCGATTCTCATTCTTATGGATGATCGATTGCTCGGAAAGATAAAGTAGCCAGTCATGAAAGAGTCAGCCTCAGAAGCCGGGCTGATGCACGGAATGCAAACTCCTACATTTGGAGGCTGTGAGTGGCCACTGGCCAAGGTCATTGCTGAAGGAATTCAGAGCCTGGATGGGGGTAGACTGTCTACACCATTTAAGGTCCCTTCCAATCCAAAGAT